GGAGAAACCAGGGGATAGAGGAAGCTACCTGGGAAGTGGAAGAACAAATGCAAAAGAAATACCCTGACCTTTTCGTGAGTTAAAGTGAGAAATTTCGAGGGCGAAATTCTTTTAAGGGGGAGAAGGTGTGAGACCCCGTAAATTTGCCTATTTTTTTTTAGGGTTTAATTTATTTAATTGCATGCTTTTCTGCATTTTCTTTATTAGAAAAATTTTCTAAATAATTTTTATGAGTAAATATAGTTTTTAGATGATTTTTCTAGTATCGGTTAGTTTTTGAGAAATTAAGAGCGTATACCGGACGTGGGACCGCTAGTGCGGAAAGTTCGGAAAAATTCGGCCAGTTAGGTTAAGTTTTGGATACAGGGTTTCCTTTAGCAGGTGTTAAGAGATAACTAGAGGTTACTAAATGGATTGGTGCGAGAGGACAAAAGGATAGCCATGTATTAATTATAGTGACAAGTGTCACTTGGAGAATTGTTCTTACTTTTTGACCACTATTCATTACTTTACCAATTAAATCAAAAAATTGCCCAAAAATCATCCAAAATTGCAAGTTCTTGGCTGGCCATCTTTCAAGAGAAAAGAAGAAAAACCTCTCCACTTTCTTACTTCTAATCTTGCTCAATCTTTCATTCCAACCGATTAATCTTCAAATTACTCCATAAAATCTCTTAGTTTAGTGGTATTAAGGTTGGTTGTGAAGTGGTTTGGAGGAGCAAGGTGCTAAATTGGGTCTTTTCTTGGGTTTGCAAGGTATGTGACCAAGGCACCTTCCCTTTGATCCTAATAATGTTCCATTTGTACCTTATGTGAGTTAAAGAGATAATTTTAGGTGTTATTTTGTGACTTTTGGTTGAATTGGTGAAGTTTTATATTTATTTGTGATTTTTCTGTTTTCATATGATTAATATTGTGTGACCATGGATGACGGTTGGGAATGGTTTAGAATGAACCCTTAGTGTGTAAATTGTAGCTATTTGCGGAAAATTTCCGCTTTGAACCAAAATTTCCAGGTTAGGGTTCCAATTTCTCACTATTCTGCCCGGCACTGTTGGACCTAGTTAGAGGCCGAATTAGCCTTGGATTAAAACATAAAAGTTGTAGGGAATGATTTTTTATAGATGCCTACAAAATTTCAGGCCAATCGGAGCAACGTAGCATGTGAAAAAACTGAAATACCCCCGCTGCCCTGTTTCTGTCCGAAACTGATAATCCGCTTCTGTAATTGGTTAGTTTGACCGGGAATACTACTGATTTGGTTGTTGATGTTCTTAATAAATATAGCTTGGTATCTTAGCTTTCGGATGGCTTTGGAATCACTTGAATTGGACTTTGGTAGCCTGAATTATGGTTATTTAACCAGAATGCGGTTCGCTAACCTGCTTATGCGGTTCTGGGTTGGTACATTGCAATTTTGACTTAGTTGCACTACAAACTGGACTGAGTGTCCTTCTTCAACATTGTAGCCCTTTCTGTTAGCTTAGAAACAGTGTATATTACACCTCCATCCGATAATCGTAGTGCCGGTTGTGTCCAATACGCTAAACAACGTCAAAACTGTTTTTGGATTTTAGGGCTTAACTTTCATTTCCGGATTTTCCCTAGCTTACTTTGGTACTTATACGTTCTAATGGAGCCTTATTTTTGGTAGTATGTGGATTTGGTTTATGACTCGTATTCGAGTCTCATTGTGCTTGTTTGGATGTTTTAGGGCGTGACGGTGGTTCAAGACGCTCTTTGGGCGGCAGTGTATGAAATATCATTTACTTGCTTGGTGAGTGTACTACTCACTTGTTTGCTACTATGTGGCTTGGTTACACTTGAAATTGATGCCTTGAATGTTATGTGCACCGTTGACATTGATTGAAGTGAGAGTGTACTTGATCACTCTCACATTTATGTTCAATATGACTGTTTCCTGTGATACTTAAATGGTACATGAAATACTGGTTTTGGTGTCGTTTGGACGAGTATCCAACGGCCATTACTGTTACTACTGAGCTCAACCCCATTGGTAGTTGATTGAATCGAGCCGACAAGGGCTTGGTCGTGAAAATCGACGAGCCATGGGGACTGTTATATGGAATCTTGTAGTATGAGACTCTCGATTCCGGTATACTCGAGTATTACCAATTTTAAACTGTTTGGAGTTCGGATCCGGTAGGGGTATGTTGGGTGGAAGGAATGGAAGTAAAGTGGATCCTACGGTTGGTTACTCTTTAAACATTGACGGAGGGTCAATGAGATCCGATCAAGTATACAAGCGAGGAAAGGGGCTCTTGAGAGCCGTCTGTATCCTTTTACCAATTTTATTAATGTGTGATCTTGGTTTACTTCTTTATTGAATGAATTGGGGTGAAAAGTCTTATGCTTATATGCACTTGGTTGCTTGAGTGATAGTATCTCACTGGGCGTAAGCTCACTCTATTCCTTTTGTTTTCCTTACAGGAATTTGAATACTTTTGGAATGGCTTTGATAGTTGGTTGCCGAGTTGAGCTAGATGTAGATACATTTTGTGTAGCTCCTCAATGAATGAAACCCTAAATGTATTTTGATCTGTTTCCTCTTTTGACTTGTAATTTGCAAACCGTACATGTATAAACTGGTAGGATCCCGTTTGTATGCTATTTTGGCTTGTAAATGCTTAATGCAAGATGTACATGTTTGATTGATGTTTGGATGGTTCTTGGACAGATTCGGTTTTCATGTCGACTCTGATTTTCATGTTTTCTTATTTTGTGATTTTGGCTTGTCTGAGCGCGCTTATATATTCCGAACCGTTTTAGACCGCATTAAACTGTCTCGTTAGTCCTGGCGAGAGCTGGGCAGGCAGTCCGCTAATCCCTTTGATTCGCCTTAGGGGAAGGTGGGACTGTCACATTTCCCCTATATATACCCCTTATCCCATATTTCCCTCTATATAACCCCATGTGTGGCACATGACATTAGACTTACATTTCATATAAGAAAAATTAGAGATAGGCTAGTACACTTGCTTGCTTAGATTAGGAAATACCCCTCGAATATGGGATATGGACGAGTTTGGCTTTCTAACCTTAGCACGCTCGTATTCCCTCTATAAAAGGGAAAATTGAAGTCACGAATCTTAGTTCCCCGCACTCGTTATGATGCATTCCTTTAGGTCATGTATATTTGTATATTTATATATTATTATTTTCTTTTCTTTTCTTAGAGTCTCATATTTTTGCATATTCGTGACCTCTTCAAAAAGTCAGTCTTGGGCATCACAATTAATGTGATTGGCACCAATTAAGTTTTGAAGAGATATTCTGACCCCCCGATACCCTCTTAGGTCTAGGTTTTGCATCCATATAGTAACTTCCAAATGTGATAAATTTTTAGGTTAAAATAAGAAAATTTTTGACTAAATCACGCAACTAGCCTTGGTTAGATTGAAGGGGTGCCTTGGATTTTTATCCTTGCCTTCCCTTTTTTCAAATGTGACTCCCGAACACTTTTCTTTGATTTGCTTAGATTTAGAGTCGTTTAAAAAGGGTTTTCTCTATTTTTTTCTTTAAAAATTCATTTTTAGGCGATTTGGTACACTTTAACTCAATACCAAGTGGCGACTCCTATTTTATTAAAAAACCCTTTTTAAACTATTTTGGGTCAAAATCGTCGCAATTTTAAGTCCCATTTAGACCCATATTTCTTTACTTTATTCTCTAATAAATAAAAATTCATTTTTATTCAAAAATTAATCAAAATTCACTTTTCATTGAATAAACTTGTTAATTTTATTTTTCATTTAAAAATGGGGCGCGACAGTTTGGCAACTCCACTGGGGATTTTGAGAGTCCGAGCATTTGATTTAGTCAATCTTTTTCTTTTTCTAACCTTCTTATATATCACATTAGGAGGTTTTAGATTGCATTCTTCTTTTTATTTTTCTTTTCTTACCCTTTTTCCTCATTTTTTAGGGTTCTTACATTTTCACGCGCGCGTAATCACCCTCGTGCACCGTGTATGTGATGAATGGATGGTTTATTTATTTATTTGCTTTTTACTTGTATCGCGCTTGCATCCTGGGGGGCGTAGCTACCTTAGAACCATCGATCGCATTTGTTGGCATTATAATCCCTCCCCTCAAAAGAAAAGCACTCCATACGTGCATGCATTACTTTTTACCCTATTTTTTTCTTTTTCGTGGGCGTTTCCCACACTTCCCTGTAGGATTAGGATCGATTTCCTTAGGTAGACGGATGGTGTGCTCTACGCCCATAGCGATGCCTAAGGGATCACTCGAGCCACCGACCAAAGGCCCTGGGATTGATGACCTTTCGCCTTTTGGTCTGAAGGCTTGGGAACCTGAAGCATCATCGAGTCTAGATGCATTAGTAAGTCAAACCTCATGCATCCATATTAGAAATACCTTAGGATAGAGTCAACCTTACCTAACTAGGAACATTAGGCACGAGGGGAGGGATTCCACCCCTCTTTCCTTATTTTTCCTATTGCTTTTTGTATCATTTAATTGCTACAACGTGTTATGTGTTAAACTAACATTTCCTTGTTTTCTTGCCTTTTGCATCCACAAACACTAGAAAATAAGAGTTCTGGCATGATACTCTTTTAGAACCAACCCTCTTAGATAGGTTATTGCACGTTTAAATTCCAATAAATTGCATTTGTAGATTGATAAGTGCACATCATTTTAAGCCTACCCTGGCATATAAAGGGTTCCTTAGGTCATGTTTCATTTCAAATTGTATATTTGATTACTTTGATAAATTGGCATCATGCATAAACCTTAGAAGAAATGCCACTTAGGGAATCCCATGTTAGGAATAAGCCACCTTGTGTCTCGGATACGTAATCCAATGAGACTTGCACGTTTATATTTCTTGTACCATCCAAAGGGGTAGTGCACAAGGTAAAGTAGGATCTGATCTTTCCCATGATAATCGAGCAACTTTTGCACATTAGAATATGAGCATCTAACAATCATCTTTTGGCTGGCAAAGTCTACACAAGAATGCCGGCTCACACGGTCAGCCATGACTACGTCAAAAAATATTTATCTGCCATTGCAAAAATGAAGAACCTTTCTCTAAGCGATCAGCGTAATTTTTACCAACAAGCAAACGTCCATTGCGTGTATTGTGACGAAGGGTACTCTCAATCAGGCTTTCCAGACAAAAAATTGGACGTTCATAACTCATGGCTATTTTTTCCGTGGCACAGATGGTTGCTTTATTTCTTTGAAAGAATTTGTAAAAACTTGCTCGATGATGACACGTTTACTTTGCCATTTTGGCAATGGGACGATTCTTCAGGCATGCAAATTCCACCCATGTTTAACGACAGCAAATTTTCCTTATGCGATTGCTTGCGCAACCCAAAACACTTGCCTCCTAAAGTGGTGGATTTAGCTTACAATTACAAAGGCACCGATTCGGGCATCGACCCCAAGACTCAAATCCAGTACAATTGTTGCACAATGTACACTCAAATGATCACTCACTCGTCCACGGCTCCGCTTTTCTTCGGACAGCCACTGTTGGGGGGTGGTGATCCCGATCCAGGAGCTGGTTCCATAGAAACTGAACCCCACAATAATGTGCACGATTGGGTTGGCGACCCTTCCCAGCCTAACAACGAGGACATGGGCGTCTTATATGCAGCCGGCCGAGACCCTATATTCTATGCTCACCATGCCAACGTTGATAGAATGTGGTACATTTATGACAATGTTTTGAAACGCAAAAATATTAAAGACCCAGATTGGTTAAATTCCTCTTTTATTTTCTTCAACGAGGCGGCGAGACCCGTTAGAGTGACGGTTAAAGATTCCACAAACCTGGCCAAGCTTGGATATACCTATCCTGACTTGCCACTTTCTTGGTTAGATTGTAAGCCAAAAGCGCATAGAAAGGGCCTGAACCTGACAAAGGTGTCCGCACCTAAGGCTAGTGAAGTGCTACCAATAAAATTAGAGAAACCCATCAGCTTCGTGGTTGAGCGGCCTAAGAAGTCAGGGGGTGGACAAGAGAAATCAGAGGCAGAAGAGGTGCTGAAGATTAAGGGAATCGAATTTGATAAAGGAGAAACTGTGGTGTTCGATGTGTTTGTGAACGAAGACGATACGAGTAAGTGTAATCCGTGCAAGGCTAAGTCTCTAGGAAGCTTCCGCACCTTGGCCCACGGACATGGCAAGAAATCTACCACTTCCCGTAGTTTTGCGATTTCAGAGGTGTTGGAGGAATTGGGAGCTGATGATTTTGACAGCATTTTGGTCACTTTGGTCCCCAGAAGAGGTGTTGTGACCATAGGTGGTATCGAAATTACCTTTGTTCCTAAACCTTAAATGCATTAATAGCATTGCAAATACTACGTGTACAATGTTGTGTGTTTGTGTAATATTGTAATCAATCGCAAGTACTACAAACTTTGAGAAGATGTTTTACTAAATAATTTCAACAACGATAACTGGTGTCCTCGTAAACTTTCAATAGACCTTTACAATTGACTTTCAATTGGGGGTCTAAATTCATCATTCCTAACTCTCTCTCTCTCTCCCGCTTTTTGTGGGAATAGCAACACTAGTATCACATTAAAGAAAGAAAGGGCCGACTTTGAAAACGAGGGCCCTTTCTTTCTTTTCCTGGTTCAGGGCCGACTTACTTCGTTCGGGCCGATGGAAAAGATTTTGGATGGAAAATGACTACAAGAAATTGTCTTCTTCTTCATGCCAACGGCTCTTTGTGCAGTTGTTCAATGGGCTTGGGTTTACAATTTTAGCAAACAAATTATTTGCTTGACTACTACACATGTGAACAAATCCTAATAGAATTTTCTTTTTGTTTGTGATGGATGGAAGAAATCTTAAAAAGCTTTGTAAAATAATCTTGCTTGCGATTATATACAATTAACAAACCCCTCATTGCTTCCTAGAGTTTCAATTTATTTAATTTTGCCAGTTGTTTGGGAATTACAGAGAGAATTTTGAAATGCTTACCAGGAGTAAGGACATTAAAAATATATGTTTATATATTCGGCCTTTAGCTTTAGCAAGGCAACCAGATCGTGGGGATGGCTTAGGATTTGTGTGGGCTCATATACGTGCAGCCCGTATTCCCTCCACCTAGTTGTGAGATTGTAAGCTGACTAGATGAAGTAAGTTTGCCCTAAACCGGCAAAAGAAAGAAAAGGCCCTCATTTTCAAAGATGGCCCTCTAGTGTAGAACCTCTAAAAAGAATTAGGAATGACAGTGGATCAACTATCTCCTTCAAAATCTCTCTTAATAAATCTTAATTTTTAACATGCTTATCTAAGTGTGCGTTTGATAAAATTGAAGTTTGAAAACTGAAATCTAAAATTTGAAATTTGAAAACTGAAATCTGAATCCATTAAATTATTGAATTGTTAAGTACTAAATCTAATACATTTAAGTGTATATCACATTCAGTGATAAGTGAATAGTTTGTCACTTAATTTTGAGAGCAAGTTTTGCCTAGAAAATTCAGTGTCATCTAATTAATTCAGATGTTTAATTTTTGGTTATCAAACAGTCTGAATATGTTAAGATCTGAATCCATTAAATTTAGGTGCTGAATTAAGTTATCAAACAAGACCTAATACTGTCTATGGTTGTTTTCTTAGGGTTCGTTTGGATTGTTTTCTTGGGTCTCTTCCCGCTGAGTAGAAGGAGCCCATGTCCTCTTCATGAGATTCATTAGGGTCGCCAGTCCAACGGCGCACATTCGTATGAGGACTAGTTTCAATTGAACCATCCCCTGGATCAGAGGTTTCACCAGCACGAAACGCTTTTCCGAAAAAACCGCATGGAGTTGTGGACTGAGCAACCATTTGCCTGTACATGTGGCAAAGATGGTTTCTTATCACTTTTATGGTATTATCCGTTGAATCGGTGCCTTCCCAGCACATATCAATAACTGTATTTAGGTGAGTGGGGTTGCGTTTGCTATCATAGAGTGGGGATGGGGAGTCTTTGAAAATGGCTGGCAGAAACATCGCAGGCGGGTTATCCCAGTTCCAAAAGGGAAGTGCAAAAGTATCGTCATTGATCAGGTTTTGGCAGATCTTCTCGAAGAAATACAAGTACCATCTGTGAAAGGGAAAGAAAAGCCATGAGCCGTGAACGTCCAATAGAAGTTTAGAATCTGCATAGCCATTTTGATAGTATCCACCGTTCCAATATGCACAATGCGCCTTTACTTGTGCAGTGAAACTACGTGGATCATCCGAACTTAGATTCTTCATTTTCTCTATGGCCTTCTTGTACTTTTTCAAATAAGTCGACTAGGTGCGCCGCAGGTCTAGTTGCGATGACAGAAGGAGCAGTAGGAACAAAATCAGTGATATCCGCAGCCGTGGCCGAGGGTGGACAATAGTCGATTTCTTTGTTGTCGGGGTCACTGGCATCGTGACAGGCTGTGAATGTTGGAGATAGTGGTGCTGCAAAGGCTGATGGATTGCCACCAAAAGTAGAGGCACCATAGAGCCCTCCTCCAATGTCCAATGCCAAGTAGCACATTTCTTCTATCAAGCTTCAGTAAAGAAGTTTCTCCATTTTTGGAGCCTGCAGTGTCATGATCACTGGAGTTTTGGTCACCTTTTGTGGCATTGCATGTAAGTTTTGGGCCTGTTTTGCGATTTGGGTGAGTGGATTTTGCAAGTGAGATGAAATGAGCTATGGCGAAGGAATAGGCAAGGTTGGAGGAGAGAGTTGGCATGGTAAGAGAAGCCATGACTTAGATATTGAGCAAGTTATGCTGTGTGTATTGTGCATCCTGTGTTGCATCAACCTATGCTTTATATAGTGGACTTGAGCTTGGTAGCTTGATCAGATTTACGTAAAAACCTATCATATCTAATTGGTAGATTCATGAAACTAAGCTTCAAGGTTTATAAATTTTTGGGTCTTTAGGGTTATACAATTTTCTATACACGAGAAAGTTGGCAATTAAAAATCGAATTACATCTTAAACGTGAATATATAGTACCAATGTTAATTTGCTCTTTTGCACACTGTTGTTGTGTCGCATCCAGGGCCCCATGCCTTGTTGCATTTTTCTACTGGCTGTTTACATAGGGGACATGCCTCCACGTGAATGGGCTGGTGGTTGGCGCCTCCTCCTCGGGACCGTTAGGTCCTGGGGTCGAACCTCCGCAGCAACATCAGTTCGCCGTGCATTTAACGTGCTAGGTCTGGTTGGGGCGCTGGGCCGGGCCGGAGTGGGGATTAGTCGGGCCGCCTTTACGGACTTGACCCGGACACTCCACTCCGTCGACAAAAAAAAAAAAAAAAAAAGTTTACATAGGGGACATGGAATGGTGGGATCAATACCCATTGAGGCAGAAACCTAGTAGCCTAGTACTGTATTTGGCTGGCGTCATGGCAATACCCCCTACCTAGGGTATCCAAACAATGTCCAAAATGAAAGTGATTTTTACTCGGAATATATTGGAAATTAGTTAAATTTTTAGATTTAAATCTTAACAACAACATATAATCTACTAGTTGTTGTGCCATGTTTGATAGGACTTTAGCTTGTAATTGGATTTTTAGTTTGATATGTTTTTATCTTTTGTAACAAGTATATTCGTAGGGAACTTTTATATAAACATTCATCAATGTCAATGATATTGGTACACCAAGAATAAAGGTACTCTTTTCTAAAATTTATCAGAATACTTTTCCACTCAAAATAGTTAGGAAAAAATGATGATGTCACTATTTGTTATACAAGTCATAATGAAATATTCATTTATTTTTTTAATTTGTATATATAATCATTATTTAGATGTTAGAATAGAATAAAATTTGCACAAAATTGACTTCGTTTCCTTGAATTATTTTACAGAGCATAACATGTTATTATGCTTGTTTTTTTTTTTTTTTAAATTTTTGGTATGCTATATGTGTGTCCATAAATGAGTTGAAATTTTCACTTCAAAGAATAATTGAGAGTTTTTATCAAAATATTTTAATCTTAATATTTGGTTAATTCCACCATACTTACATAAGTACATATGTATATGTATGTATACATATGTATGGATACACACACATATATATTTATTTCAAAATTTTGTATAATTAGCAGCATAAACAATAAATTACATGAAATCAGACATTCATATTCTCTATCTATCCTACTTATACTGTTTATCTGAAATTCATGTGAATTCTTATATACCCACTTGTTCATGAGAAAGGTGTCTAAAATCGGACCATATCTTATACGTGAAACAATTTCTAATTTTGCTACAAAAATTCCAGCGAATTATTCTTAACTAGATTGCTCCTTTGTACTCTGTAGCGTAGCATTTAAGGCCGCATGTTTTCTTGTATTTCTCTTAATTATCTACCCATTTCACTTTCTTTATCAAAGAATCTGAGCCTTTCCTCCCAGTTGAGAATTAACTTGGCAAAGGTTGAGAAAACTTTATCAGTCAGACCTTGAATATTAGCATAAAGATTTGTAGCAGTATAATTGGATGATTCTATACTTGTAGTCTATGACCACTTCAAATGCATGTGGAAGATGACTGGCAAGAACTGAATTAGCTATCTTAGCTTTTGTTTTGAACCAGCGTTGTTCAGTTACCAGGAAGAACTAAAAGTACAAAGAAAAAATGCGCCTATAGTAGAAGTTCAATTAATCTGGTCAGTGAAATAATTATATGCATGAAATCTAGGTTGTAATTGGATTTCTTTTATTTCGAGAACACCTTTTTTTTCCCTAAACAAATTCTATTTTTTTCAAATAATGAGAAAAAACAACAAATTCTCTTAAGCTTCATTTGGATTGAGAGATTCGATGAAAAATTTTAAATCATCTTAAATCGTTCTAATTGTTTAGATTATTTAAGATGTATTTGAACTTGTGAATCACAAAGTATTATAGTGTTTAAAATGTGTTTTGATAATTGGTTTATTATAAATTCAAATGCTTCTTAAATAATTTAAACAACTACAACGATTTGGGTAAATTTTAAATCTTTCGTCAAATTCCTCTGGTCCAAACTAAATAATACATTTGTACAGTTTTCTGAGATATAGGCATTGAGTGTGGATTAGGGAATTTTCCAAAAGATATAGCTTCGGTTGCTATTCTCTTATCAATAAAATATGGACATAAAAACAAAAAGGGAACAAAATTGCGCTTCAGAAGAACGCTGGAAAATACTCTCCCTTTGTTCGTACAGTCTAATAATACTTGAAAACTGTCCTCAAGGTGTCCTAGACTTTTATTATCTAAAGCATTCTTCTCCTAAAATCTGTGTTATTATTAAGTTCAAAACAACACAAAATGAGTAAAAATTTGTTATGCTTTTCCTCTTTTTATTTTCCCTAGCTATGTATGTATGTACAGCAAAATAAATGTAAGGAAAAAAAAGGGGCCGGAAAAGTACCGTTATTAATATTTTGAGCAACTCCAAGGACGTCTCAATAAATTCAGACATTTGAATAAGGATCAGAAAGGAAAACGTTCACATTAATGTTTGCGTGTTTGAAATGAAAATAAAACTAATCACGAAACTGAATCACTATCAGATCAGATAGATGTATCACGCATTCGCATGAATTTAGAATAATCCTTATATAAAGATATATTAATAAAAAATAAAATTTAAACTATTGACCTTTCGTCCCAAAATTAATGTGATGACTAACTCTAGAAGAGAGTTGGTTAAATGAAAATAGAATTGACTAGACTATATTCAAAGTTAACTGAAGTTGGCCGCCACAAATTAAATTGCATCGAGTGGACATATGGTACAATCAAGATTGAAGAAGTATGCGTAGTATTGAAGGCACGATTCCCACCTGAAAAGTGGGGTGTACGTGTCATTTCATTTCCGGACTAATTAAATCAATAATTCAACTGCCGCATTACTGTATTTTTGCCCCAATTCACTCTTTGACATTTCAATGTGCAACTCGATTGGCACTAGAACATCAATTTTCCTGGCTACAGTCCTATGTTGTTTTTTCTTTCTGAAAATATGACAAGGGATTCTTTTAAAGTCTGCTAAGGACTGTTATTAGGAGTTTTCTAAGATAAATATTACTCCCTTCATTCCAATTATTTAGTCATTTTTTCAAAATTTAATTTTTTAAAAACAGTAATTTGATTGTGATGTTTGTACCTTTCTTTCTAATTTTACCTCTATAAATTTAAAATTTAAATTTTAATGGTAATATGAACATAATTAGAAAGAATGGCTATATTGGAAATAAAAACTAAAAGATATTTTGACTTTTTCATCTTGACAAATGTTTTGGAACATCCCAAAATGAAATGAATAATATTTTCAATGGGACGGAAGGAGCACTGCTTCTGCTTATTAATATCCTCTTTTGTCTAAAAAGTGAAGTATGATGCTCTATCAAATCTAAAGTAATTACTAGAACCTTTGCACTTATTTAAATTATCTTAGAATGAAATTAAGTGTTTGAGAGCAATCACCTTTTCCTCTCTCTCTCTCTCTCATATTTATTTCTTTTTTTTAAATAAGAGAGTGAAATTTAAGAAGTAGAAAGAGAGCAAAGGAGAACTGAAACCACTGCCTCTAACTCTTGAAATTTCAATTTTTCCTCACGAGGAATCACCTTTCACCAAGAGGATTTTCGACTAAAAGTGTCACTCTTTCAGTCTTTCCCGAGCATTTTAATGTACCAAAACTACATTCTTCTATATAGGATTACACACAATTGAATGGCACAAAGGGATAAAAATGACGGTCGTAATCTCCACGATGACTCTCGTTATCTTGCTATTTCATTAGTTTTTTCTTTTGAACCTAAATTAAAATCCTAATCTTTGCTTAGCCCCAATTCAACGAGCCAATTTAAGATAATATCTATTCTCTCGAGTCTTGATTTTCACATTATTGCTGCAAATCCAACATTTCCTCGGTTGACGAACTAAAGTTAATGCTACATTTCAAGTACCCAAGATCCTTAATTTTATGTTGTAGGAAACAAAACCAGATTTTTTGTAAAGATATGATGGCTGATATAAAAAAGACGATAGCATCAGAAAAGGGCCACCGATTGGTTTTTGGACAAAAAGGTCGTTGATCATCAAGAATAATAAATAACCAACTAGTAAAAGAACTTTTAATTGGGTGTAGGTCAGGAATGAAATCTCTTTCCAGCACGGTCAGAAATGAAATTGCGTCTAATTCTTTCCAGCACGGTTTGTGTGCCGTGCATCTAATTCTTTCCGGCACGATTTCTGTAGGAAATTCATTGGGCTCTTACCAGTGGGCCTCTTTCCTATCCAAATCAATTTGTACAAGATTATTGGTGGACTTTGAGATTTGGACATTGTTAGATTGTCCAAGCCCAAGGATACAGTGCTTCTGGAACGGTTCAAAATTAACAAGCTCAACCCTTGATATATCTGCAAGAATGCCCTACCCTTGATATATGTGCAACAAAGCCCGTGTTTCGGAAATTTTCTGATGGTCCATTAGACCCAATAAGGCAGTAACCGCAGATTTTTAAGGCAAACATTGAGAAATTATGCACCATTATACGAATCCGTAGGATGAACTATATGATGTATTGCATACATCATATAGTACTTAGCCCTTTTTTTTTTTCCCAAAAGCGGCAAATGACTTAGCCCATTTGAATTGCTATTTTCTAGAATTTTTGTAAAAAAATGTGTTGTAGTAATGTAATGTGTGTAAGATAAAATGTGATTGAAAAATTTATTCATAAGCAACATAAAATTTTTTTTTTATAAAAATGGCAATCCAAATAAAGTTACTTTTTTTTTCTTAATATCAAGTAACCTTATTTTATTCTAAATAAGGTTACTTAATATACCACATGATATACAAAGGACTAAACCTACAATAGATCGAAATTGTCAGAGTCCCGTATTCATTCTTCCTCTTTATTTTTCCTTCTAAAATATCCTCTGGCTTACCAAATCTGCTCGACACTCCTTTGGAGTCTGGAACATCCCTAGTCTTTCTGATAATACTTCAAGCAAAATATGACCTAATAAATTAAACTCTGTTTAGAGATAGGATCCCATGCATGATGGACAATGACATGTTTGGCAAAGATAGGTGATTCTTTGCTTTATTATATATTGACTAGTTTTTCAGCCCTGACGCCATGCGTTAGGTAGCTAAGACTCGTTATTTTGCTGTTATGTTTGTTTATTTTTTTTCTTTGTTAGATATGGTAGACATGTGTGTGAGTGTGTGTTTTTTCCTAATTGCACAGATAAACATGACCTTAAAATCAAGTTATCTAACATTCTTAATGTAGCATTAATCAATAAGTAATGCCTAAAATTAGGCAGAACTAAAAGGCATGATTAACATTCTTAATGTAGCATTAATTAGTAAGTAATCCTAAAAATTAGGTAGAACTAAAAGGTATAAAGCTATACATGTAATGTGTAGCCTTGCTTATTAGTCACATTACTTCTCTAAAATAAGCAATTTGACAATTTCCATTTTTTTTTTTGACAATTTCTGTTTGCTAGTACTTCAAAATTAACAATCTGATAGAAGAAAGAAATAAAGAAAGACAATTATAAAATGGGTTTGTCATTTTCTTTTGTTTGACTTGAATGAGCATTCAAACATATTTAAAAATATTTTCAAACCAGGTTAAAATTGAATTAATCTTTTGTGTATATTCAGTGGCCTTTTTGTTTTATATTAATAGGTCTAGATTCTTGACACATAATTTTTATTCAACTCTAGCCCACCATCACTTTGGTTTATACATACTACCATTTCTCCTAATCAAGGTTTCATATTGGATCCTATTCTTTTTGTTGCAATTCAAATGATTGTTTGATTGATAGATTAAAAGTGTTCAAGAATGGAGGGAGCAACAATGGTTTTTTTTGGACAAGACATCATCTATTGAAAATGAGTCTCGAACTCTCAATATTGAACAACTTCAACTTGCAAGGGTGAATATACATATTTTCTTATTTTTCTTTCTTTCTTCCCTCTTTTTGGCTGTCTATCTCTTTGCTTTTTTTTTTTTTTTGAGATTTTGATGATTTTGGTTCTGATAATTTGTATAGGAGGCAACACTTTATGTGGTGTGTATGACGAGCATGGAAGAAGCTCTTTGAATTTTTACTAAGATAATGGGCTAGATATATACAATATCTAACGATTTCTTGAACTTAAAATTTTTCTTTTCTACTTTCTAGGTTCTTTGGATTTATAATTCTTACTTATTTGATGATTCTTTCTGTTACTTGGTTGATGATTTTTTTCGTAATCTGTATCATAAGTTGCAAAATTATAGGTTATTTTGTGTTCTTAAACCATGTGCAAAAAAAAGGTGAGTTTCTCTTTTTCTTTTTCTTTTTTAATAAAAGTGGTATTCAAAATTAGGAGATAGTTGGAATCTTTAAATGGTGAATTCCAAATCAACTTGTGTTTAAGGATAGGTTAGAATAAAATGATAAGAAATAACTGGTGGAGATATTCTACAAATGGGGTAACAAACTCATGTTTAAGGTTAGAAAATACGTATTTATTAAATCATTTTTTCATGCTCAAAAGAAAAAAGTTGGGCCTACTGTAAAAGTTCAGAAACGATAATCCATTTCTTAAATTGCAATTTTTTTAATGATGAAAGTTTATCCTTTTGCCAAAAAAAAAATGTTTACATGGGAATCCCTATATATTTTTCAAGTTTTATGCAAAATGGAAGGACCCTCTAACCATTCTAACTCAAAAAACAACTGGGTAGCCGCTTGCAGCAGAGTGCAAGGTTCCCTTGAACTCTATTCGGGTGGCTGCAATCGGTGGTGGGATAGCCAAAAGACCAAAACACCACCAAATAAGTCAGCCGAAAGACCAAAATACCCCTCAATTGCAAACTTGTTTCTGTCCAAGAACAAAACGTGGAGAACAGTGAATTTCCAGCAAAACCACTCCCACCCAACCGCAAAAGACCACAACACCCTTAAGGCTCACAAAAATCACAGTATAACCGAACCATCGGCACTGTTGACAAGCATTCCCTCTTTATATATGTAAGATAAGATAAGATATAGGTAATATAAACGTATAGGAAGCCAACGTTGTAACTTGTTTCTGGGGTTTTATAGCTGCTCCACTCATCAAGAAACGTCCGCTTAAGCCAAGCTATCAGCTAAGATGACTTTGAACTCACATTATAGAAGCACCCCATACGTCACAGAGATAAAGCTAAGATGACTTTGAACTCACTATTGGAAGCAGCTCAATCGGAGATAGCAATATAAACTTTGCTTTCTTTTCATCTATTTGGGTTCAAACTATTGGAAAAAAAATAAGTTGATTCTGTTGTAGTTTACTCAAAAACTCTCTCTAAACCTCTGCATTAATGACTTTCAATCGAGTGTACAATTTCTGTTGGACTTGTGTTGTGGGCCAGCCCACTTATGCAAGTGCTTGAGGGTTTCTCAAGCTTAAATACAAGCAGCAGCCACAAGGTTCATCTGTAGCGAGAGAAAAATTGTCACTACAACAAAAAAGGCCTTTAGCGGCATTTAAAGGTGTCAGTATATAATATCTAACCTGACACTTTCTCTATCCTGACACCCAGGGCGAGTGTTGTCCCTTCCAATGTGGGGATAGCCTCAAATCTTTAGCAGCATTCAAATGTGTCAGGCAAACCATGCTACTATATCTTTACCTCTGCCAACAAAATCCTTTTTTTGTGATAATAGAAAGTGTCTGTATAGCGTAGCACATCAGTAGGGAATCAGTTGGATATCAAATTTATGAAGGCATCTTGAGTTGTCTTAATATATGGCTTTAAGGACACATAGCCATGTGAATCTACAATGTGTTGGACGACATGCCCATTTGTTGTTAGTGTATTTCGGAGCTTAAGCTATGCTGACACTTTTAATTGTCAGGAGAATTTTCTCTGTTTTTTTTTTTTTTTTATAGAAGCAACCTGCAATTAGTCCTCCCTGCTATACATTCCATCAACCAGAATCCCAAGGGACTTGTAAATTTATCCCAAAGAGCAGAATGCATATAGCAATGTAAAAGAAGAAGTCGCTACTGAAATATAATTCATTGAATTAAAAGTCGATAACAAGTACTAAAATCGCAAACAAGTGCTAAAAGCAAGTACTAAAATTCCAAACAAGTACCAAAAGATTGTCATTTACAATAACTTGAAAGACTTTCTTGTGCACAAACTAAAAGACTCTCATCCCTAACAAGTTGAAAGAAGTAGAAGTAGCTTCCAAATTTTCCATTTTGTTGAGACTCCTCAGTCATAACCATGAAGTCCCCATCATTCTTCAGCTGTTTCCACCTGTGCACAAAAGACCAAGGGGATCATTAGATCATCATAGCTAGAACTAAAATTCCAGAAAATCTGCTATGTATTTAAGTGCATATCTCACCAAATGACAAGGCCAAGCAACTGGTGCACCAAGTGCATCTTGAATTGTTTGCTGCAAATCATACGGTCTAATCAATTGCTCACGTGGACTCATTGCAACTTGTATCTGTATTTCACACCAGTTTGGCCCAAGAGCTTGTCCCCCGACCTCATCCAATGGATTCAGACTCCGTAAATATCCCTTTGCCACGCTTTTTGTTGGGTCAAACAAACTTTTTAGTGAAACCATATTCCCTACCTAGCAAACATCCAACAAGTACAAGAATCAAACTCATGCCAAATTCCAGATTACAAATACAAAAGTTTAGAAGTTGTAAATATTTACTCGAATAGGTCGTGTGGCTCGCGATGGAGCATGGCTTGACACATTGTTAGATGATGATGAAGGATGTCTCAGGCTGTCAATTGGAGAGCCCCTTCCGTGTTGAACTAAAACCATTTTCTTCAAGCTGGCTATTTCATCATCTTGTCGCTGAAGCCTTTCCTCCAAACGGACCAATGATGACTGTTGTTGAACACTTATACGGTAGCATGTGTTACGACTAGGAATGTCTTCCCATAAGTCCGTTGGATTCACACCGTCACTAAACAAGCGAACATGACCATGTTTGTCTTGCCCAACCACCTGGGCAAATATATCATCACGACCAACTGGATCTTGCGAATCCGATGGAAGCTGATTTTTCAGCTCAGTCATTTTTTCCTACATAATAAAGGAAAACACTTGTTATTGCAAAAGACTGTCTGAAAACATCCATGGTAGAATTGATAGGCTTGTGTTCTGGGATCCTTACCAAATTCTCACCAACTATGGTACTTGATGGAGTTCCATCAGCATGGGTATAAAACTTATTGAACATTTCTACTCTAGTAGGAGGTCTTCCCAACTGTTTGGACTATAAGAAATTGAATCGTTTTAATTATAGTTTTAGCATTTAGCATATAATTAAAAAACAAGCTAACATAATGAAACATGTACGAGCAAAAAGATTAGCAACTAAAAAGTTGATGAGGTATCACCAAGTGGTTCCGAAGATGAGCAAATGATTTTTTTCCGGTTGTGTGGTTCATCTTCTTCTCCCCTCTAGCTTTCTTGTTCCTCTCACTTAGTTTCTAAATTTCAAAATCAAAAGCAAGATTACAGCATTGAATAAACACAACTTTATGAAGAATGTTGTAACTGATTTGTACCTTTGCTTCTTCACTTTTCCAATAAGCCCAAAGTTTGATCCATTGCTCTTCCCGTACCCTTATGTCCTTTTGAAACCGAGCTTCAGCATTTGGCACGGCAGGATCAAAATAGTTAGCCTTTAAATCTGCCTTCCAGCTTCTCCATTTTTTGCCAATAGATCTTAAGGTCCAAGCTTCCAGTCCCATAGGCAAAGCAAACCTTTCCTGAAACGTAGTTAGCAACAAGAAAATCAACACAACTTCACAGTAATTTTTGTACAAAGCATACATAATACAAAAGCTACCATTACCTTTATCACTTCTAACATGTCCATTTTAAGTTTCCTTGGCATCTTAAGCCATGTTTCAACATCTACTGGACAATACATACCATTCCTAGCCAAACTGCCCAAGAATTCAGAGAAAGAGGTTTTCTCACTTATTGGGATCCCATTGTCATCGAGTTTAATCTCAATCCGTGGAAGTTCCTTAGGCCGACCCCAAATTTCTTTCATAAATGTAGGGCCTCGGGTTTTCTAATGTACTTCACTTGAATCATTTGTAGTTTCTTTTCCTGTATAAAATAAGAAAAAGGTGCAAGTTATGAACATAACAAAATGCACTTCTGGAATTGGTTCAAAACAGTTAGTAATACCTGCATTGTCTGAGTTGCATGACATGAAGGTGGTGTCACTGGAATGTGGACCTCGAGAGTCCTGATTTGGACTTTGTTCAGTTGCTTCATGCCTTGTTCCAAGTGGAGATTGTTGAATTGGAGAGTTCTGGCAGTGCTCATGCGACTTGGAACCTCCATCAGCTTGTTGAGTGACTTGGTCACCTGATTCATGTATTATTCCCAATGTAGAATTCTGAATTGCAGATTGAGGTGCCCGAGCAGCTTCTCCTTGCACTTGTTCAATTACATTTTCATGGCTTGTTCCAAGTGGAGGCTGCTGCCTTGTTTCATGACATGAGGGAGGTTGCTCAATTGGTTCATCTCTCAATCCATTTGCAGCGCGCTTACATTTTCGACCTCTACGGGCCATACCTGCATAATATTTGAGTGAAGAAAGGGACAAATGTAAATGTTTAAAATTTATTGGAGCAAACACTCTACCTATAGTTTCTTTAACTTACAAATGCTATTATAAAGAAGTACTACTTAAACAATAAACTGGCATGACAAGTAACAAATGGCATTCTTCAAGAATAAACCAGGGGAAGACTATGGAGCTGTCAACAGAACAGAGAAACAAATGGGGAATATACGATTCAGTGCAGCAACTAAGTTGCCTATCATCTGAGATATGTAAATTTTCTTTTTTATTTAATACCAATTTTTCTACAAAATTGAGTAGGTAAACTCTGAATTTAAGGATTTGAGGCACTTAAGTAGTTATAATTGAGGGTTGTTTCAACCTCTGCAGCTTAAGGATTTAAGGATAATGTATTCTACCAACAAATACACACACACACCAAACTTAAAGTCTTGTGAGATATATAAACTAAGATTAAATCATTTCCAACCCAACTCAAAGAGTAAAGCTGGTTAAACTTTTCATTTCTTCCTTCTCGGCCAACTCAACTTTTATTCACCTTTGTTGTTTAATTTCTCTCAAAATTCACTAGCTTTTCAGGCCTCAAGTTTACTAAAATGAATCATGAATGACAGGGTCAAGATGTTATATACCAGATTGCCTTAGAGTTTCCAAATACACCATATCAAACCCAACTCATTGTCACTTCAGCGAGCAAACAAAATTCCAGCAATATACCTCCTAAGTTTCATTAACATTTCATCTTTTATTGGATGAAAACACTAAGCACTCAGTATTTATTCTATCCTTGCTTAATTTGGATCAAACAATATGTACCTTCAACACATAATTCCAGCAAAAGCAACAGTAATTCAGTCCTCAGCTAAATGCAGATTTTCAGTAGCTAAACAGTCAAGTACAAGACTGTTTTCCTCCCCCCCCCAACTTCCTTACTTTCCTCCTCCTAACTCAACATGCAGGGAGTAATTATCCAACTAGTTTTGCAAGTAAATATTCTATAAGATCAGAGATAAACATATTCCATGCAATCCTAGCATAATTCTCCATAGAAAATTCAGATAACAAGCTGTAACTCAAGTAACAACTCTCGGTTATCACAGTTTTCTTTTCCCTTCAACTTTTAATCATTTTAAATTTCAGTTCCAGCCACAAATCACACCCACAGGCTCATAACAGACAAAATAAGTATAAAACCAGCATTTTCCAGCAAACTTTATACCAAAATATCCACTCAACTCCAAGAAATTCCATCGGTTAAGTTGGAAAGTGTTATGACAGTCATGCGATTTCCTACTCAAAACTCCATCCATTAAAATTAGATTTTTCACCATGAATTTCACATGCAATTCCAGATAATGAATATACCACCACCACCCCTCAAAGCAAACACTCTACCTAGAAATGTGCTTCTCAGAAATGGAGAAGATGCTTGTCAGAGATGGGAATCGAATAGCCTAAAAACTAAATCTACCATGCAATGCAAGAACATGTCTACCATGTAATGCAAAATTAGACACAAAATACTGAAATTACCTCAAACTATGGCTTGAATCCCTAACTTCTCGGTTTCCCCAAGCTTCAAGATCTGAACTCCACCCACCACCCAAGCTTTGAAGCCCTAATTTCTGATTTGTTGCCACCAAGCCAACACAACAGCCGAATTAGGGATTTGCCTGGTGCGAGCTCAACCAAGTTACCCAAATGGGTGCGAGTTCATGGACGGCAATTGACTCAAATTGGTGGTGCGAGCTTGAAACAGAGAGAGAGGACAAAGACAGAGGACAACAAGAGAGGGAGAAGATGTCTGAAATAAAGGCGGTACTAATGACGCCAAAGTAAATTAGTCAAGCCTCTTGAATTTTTCAATTTGCCGCGCTACTACTAGCAATTTTTGTGTGCTTGGGCAAAATTTCGTTAAAGCTATATAACAGCTAAAAATCTTGTTACAGCTATATACAATATAATATAACAGCTAAAAATTTTGTTAAAGCTATATAACAACTAAAAATGTAACAAATAAAAATTTTGCAAGAGCTATATACAATATAATATAACAATCAAAAAATTTGTTACAGCTATATAACAACTAAAAATATAACAAATAAAAATTTTGTTAAAGCTATATACAGTGTAATATAACAACTAAAAATATAAAAATAATTAAAAATTCAAGAGAAGCTAACAAAAAACATTCTTTTAATCAAAATGTTTTCGCTTACTCAATTTATTTTATGCTGCTAGCAATTATGTATGGCTTGTAGTCTAACAAGCCATTGGAAGGATCGAATTAGTTTATGAAACAAGAAAATTAACTTGTGAATACATGAAGTTTCCATTGACAAACATTGGGATTAGAATTGATTGAACATAAACATTGAATATATATATATGGATTATCTTCCTTCTCTCTAGGAAAAAACTCTCTTCCTTCTCTCTATTCTTATTCTCTCTAATTTCTTAACTAGTTCATGGCTGCCCTTCAGCCGTCGGCTGAGGGGCAAGGATTATCACCTACCAAAAAAAAATCTTTCTCTCAATTATTTTCTCAGCCGGCAATATCTCCTATCCACATTCAGCAGGCTTCTGTCTACAAGGGAGAAGCTGCGGTAGTTTTTTCTAAAGCAGATGCAGACAAACTTGCAGCGCCGTTTCAATGGGCTTTGGTGGGAAAATTTTCACACGGCCGACCTTCTTTGGAAGATATTCGAAAGTTTTTTGCTTCTTTAAACCTGAAGGATCATGTTTCTATTGGATTGATGGATTATAGGCATGTTCTCATTAAGTGCATGGCTGAAGCTGACTTCAACAGAATTTGGATGCGAGGGATTTGGCAACTGGGCAAATATCCGATGCGTGTGTTTAGATGGACAAGGGAGTTTCATATGCTTAGGGAATCATCTCTGGCTCCGGTTTGGGTAGTTCTTCCAGCTCTGCCTATTCATTATTTCGACAAACATTCATTATTCTCCATACTTTCTCCAGTAGGAAGACCACTCTTCCTAGATTCGGCAACCGCAGCTGGGACTCGACCAAGTTTGGCCAGGGTATGTGTGGAACTCGATGTAGCGAAATCTTTTACACAAAGAGTTTGGGTGGCTGTTGAAGGTGAGTCTGGATTCTGGCAACGTATTGTGCCAGAGAATATGCCATTATATTGTTCATCTTGTTCACGTTTGGGTCATTCCCAAGAGCAATGCAAGAAGAATGTAACTGAGGTTGGGTCTCGGTATCTATATAAGCAAAACATGAAGCTGCAGAGGGATTTACCATTAGAAGTTAATAATATTCAAGTGTCAAATTTAGACCTTGTAAACAACCCAGATGCTAACTTGAACAAAACAACAGATGCCGTGACTGATTCCGACGAAGTGCAGCATCCTGAGATGGGCAATTATGCTGAAAAACTCAAAGGTGCAGTGGTGGAGGAAGTCTGTACTGCCACAAAGGTTCAGGAAGTTAATCAGCCTGATGATCACCTTAGTAAGCTTGGAGTATCTAAGTTGTCGTCCAATGCTGAATTTGAACAACCACACAATGATCTTGCATTGGAGCTGCCGATACGTGAGGATCGAAGGGAAATGGAAAACCAGCTGGACAAGGCCCACGGGAATGAATACCAAGGGACCCGTTCTGAAACTAATATAATTCCCACAGACAAACTTCTTTGTAAGGCTGACAGAAATTCTCTTCATCATCTATCTGATCACCAAGTGGTGATAGTTGCTGCATCCAAGCCGACAACATCTGATGTGCAAGGGAATTTTAATACGACTCATATGAGGGAGCAAACACTTGTTGGGGAACAATTGACTATGCAAAAGCAGTTAGAACAGGTCCACGAAAATGATGAAGGGACCCAAGCTACATCGTCTGAGGCATCAAAAGTGAAACTTCAGTCCACTGCCGACAATAACTCTTTGGAGCATCTCTATGTTGAGTTGCGAGGAGTGGAGAATTACGGTCCTACAGAGCATGGGATAGTGGAGGTTAATTCACCAACTGTTGCAGGAAATTTGTCTCCCAGACCGGGTGTCCCACAAGAAAATTTGCCGGAATCATCAGGTCCTTCTTTAACTATTCATCAATCAGGGGTGGCTGACCGTAATCCCAAACAAAAAAGGACAAAAGGTTTGAGGGCTAATTTGCAAACCGACAGAATTTTGCGCTCACGGTCAGAGACATCTTCCAACAACTCATTCCAGGTTCTTTCTCATGATTAATGGCATTTTTTGGAATATTAGAGGAGTAGCTAAAGCACCTAATCTACGAAGATTAATCAATTTAGTACGGACACATCATTTCCAATTTGTTGTGATTTGTGAGCCAAAGTTAGACGTATCTAAAATACAGACCATTCGTCTACGTCTATTATTTGATTACGTGCTTGTTAATTGTTCAAGTGATATTTGGGTGTTCTACAATAATCCTTTCCTTTGCTCGATTGTTGGTAATTCTGA